CTACCAGATTATCAAATTTCTGACCCCAAATGGAGTCGGAGTAGACTGGAGCAATCAAAGAGAAACTAGGTTTGTTATTTAGTCTCAGTCAAGGGAAAGGGTGTGCAATGTACTATGCCAATTAAAAAAAACATGTCTCCAACTGGAGAACACTATAGAGAGACCGAGGACGGAGTCAGTAGAAGAACTCCATTAAATCCCTATTGACCAAGTAGGAATGAAGATAATCAAGATTGGGTCCGGATTAGTCGAGCCCTTGAGAGGGGCTATGGTTAAATTTCTAAAAGCCAATACTGATGTATTTTCTTAGAGATTAGATGACATGCTAGGGGTTCCCCCCGAGATAATGTGTCACGAATTGGCCGTGGACAAGCATGTCAAACATGTTCAACAGAAGAAGAGACATCTTGGCCTAGAATGCCAGAAGGCGGCAACAGACGAGGTGAAGAGGCTTTTGAAAGTCGACTTTATCCGAGAAGTCCAATATCGAGAGTGGTTAGCCAATATTGTCCTGGTGAAAAAAGCACTAAACAAGTGGAGGATGTGTGTAGACTTCACCGACCTTAATAAAGCTTGCCAAAAAGATAGTTATCCCCTGCCTTTGATCGACCAGTTAGTCAACGAGAGCCTGGGACATGAACTGCTTAGTTTCATGGATGCCTTCTTTGGCTATAATCAAATTTTCATAGCTAAGCATGATCAAGAGAAGACTTCTTTCATTACCGATATGGGTACGTACTATTACAATATAATGCCCTTCGGACTGAAGAATACTGGAGCCACTGTAGGCTGTCTAAAAATCACAATAGATAGCTGATCCCCATCAGGTTTCAATGATGAGAGTTACAATCCGACAACTTTCGTACCTCAATGATGAAAGTTACAATCAGATGGCTCTTATGTTAACAAATGAAAACTGCAAATGGAGGACTTTTCATATGGATTGAGAAGAGTTACAATTCAACGACGCTTCCAACAACTGATGAAAACTCTATTCAATGGTCTTCATAACCAATAGTGAGAGTTACAATCTGACGACTTTCACATCCCACAACAGCTAAAGCAAGGATCAATGAGCAACAGCCTTCGCAACACTGTAATAGAAGAGGTTACAAGTCAACAACCACTTCTAAACGCAGAGTCTACCTCTACGCTTCTCAACTCAAAACGCAAGTGGCCTGTGCGTTCTTCAGCAGTCACCCAACTCTGCGTCTTAAATCCAAGACGCAGAGTTAAGACTCAGATTGCAAACGGCCCGTGCGTCTTCAATTTCTAGCAGACACTCAACTCTGCGTCTAAAATCTAAGACGCAGAGTTAAGACTCAGAACGTGAGCGGCCTATATGTTTCTAATCTATAGCAGATACCTAACTCTGCGTCTCAAGTCTAAGACGCAGAGTTAAGGCCTAGAACGCCAATTTAGGTATTTGACTTGTTCAAACACAAGCTGAACGACCTCAAAACCATTTATCCCACTTTTTGAGGGATTTTCGCCCACTTAGGAGCGGATTTAGGGGTTGGTTACACCCCTTATCCCCCTATAAATAACTGCATTACTGAACTGAGTAAGGGGTTGGAATTTTTTGGCAGAGGGTTGGATTTTTTGAAGATTAAGGGCGAATTCTTGGGAGATTGGAGATTTCGGCCAGATTTTAAAAATCAAATCATCTACGAAATCAGCACAAGAGAGTTCGTGGCAGCCAGGAGATCAAATCCGTCAGCAACAAACAAATCCACTTGGCTCAACAACTCTTTTCAGAGTTTTCAACTCATTCTGAGTTCTTAAATTTGTTAAGAGTTCTCAATCAAACTTGCCATACAAGTTAATTGTTCCCATGAGACAAGACGTTCGGATCGTTAATGGAGAGCAAATAAGAGGGATATAGAGGATCTGATTGAGAGGGGATACTTGAGAAATCTCACTTCCTGGAGAGATCGCAATGATACTTCCCTAACCAGAAATGATAGGAGATCCCGCTCGCGATCACTTCGGCCTCGACCTCAAATAGACGAGCGACCCCTAGAGACTACTCATAAAGGAGTCATCAATGTAATAAGTGGTGGTCCTACAATTACGGGGTCATCCAATAATGAGCGAAAGAGATATGCTAGAAGAACGCTGCAAGTTGACCATAATTCCAAGAAGACGAAGACAGAAGAGCTCATATCTTTTAGCGATGATGACCTACAGGGTGTTGAGACACCCCATGATGATCCTCTTGTTATCACTGTAGTCATTAATGGTTATCAGGTGAAAAGATTTATGGTCAACACCATAAGTTTGATGGACGTCTTATATACCAGTGCCTTCAATTAGATGGGAATTGACAAATCCCACCTCCTCCCTTGCAGAGGACCCCTTGTGGGTTTCACTAGTCTTGCTGTCTTATCAGAAGGAATGATAACTTTGTCATTAGTATTAGGAGAATATCCTAGGCAAATCACTACCCAAATCTAGTTTTTGGTAATGGATTTGAAGTCAGGCATACTACCAGATTATCAAATTTCTGACCCCAAATGGAGTCGGAGTAGACTGGAGCAATCAAAGAGAAACTAGGTTTGTTATTTAGTCTCAGTCAAGGGAAAGGGTGTGCAATGTACTATGCCAATTAAAAAAAACATGTCTCCAACTGGAGAACACTATAGAGAGACCGAGGACGGAGTCAGTAGAAGAACTCCATTAAATCCCTATTGACCAAGTAGGAATGAAGATAATCAAGATTGGGTCCGGATTAGTCGAGCCCTTGAGAGGGGCTATGGTTAAATTTCTAAAAGCCAATACTGATGTATTTTCTTAGAGATTAGATGACATGCTAGGGGTTCCCCCCGAGATAATGTGTCACGAATTGGCCGTGGACAAGCATGTCAAACATGTTCAACAGAAGAAGAGACATCTTGGCCTAGAATGCCAGAAGGCGGCAACAGACGAGGTGAAGAGGCTTTTGAAAGTCGACTTTATCCGAGAAGTCCAATATCGAGAGTGGTTAGCCAATATTGTCCTGGTGAAAAAAGCACTAAACAAGTGGAGGATGTGTGTAGACTTCACCGACCTTAATAAAGCTTGCCAAAAAGATAGTTATCCCCTGCCTTTGATCGACCAGTTAGTCAACGAGAGCCTGGGACATGAACTGCTTAGTTTCATGGATGCCTTCTTTGGCTATAATCAAATTTTCATAGCTAAGCATGATCAAGAGAAGACTTCTTTCATTACCGATATGGGTACGTACTATTACAATATAATGCCCTTCGGACTGAAGAATACTGGAGCCACTGTAGGCTGTCTAAAAATCACAATAGATAGCTGATCCCCATCAGGTTTCAATGATGAGAGTTACAATCCGACAACTTTCGTACCTCAATGATGAAAGTTACAATCAGATGGCTCTTATGTTAACAAATGAAAACTGCAAATGGAGGACTTTTCATATGGATTGAGAAGAGTTACAATTCAACGACGCTTCCAACAACTGATGAAAACTCTATTCAATGGTCTTCATAACCAATAGTGAGAGTTACAATCTGACGACTTTCACATCCCACAACAGCTAAAGCAAGGATCAATGAGCAACAGCCTTCGCAACACTGTAATAGAAGAGGTTACAAGTCAACAACCACTTCTAAACGCAGAGTCTACCTCTACGCTTCTCAACTCAAAACGCAAGTGGCCTGTGCGTTCTTCAGCAGTCACCCAACTCTGCGTCTTAAATCCAAGACGCAGAGTTAAGACTCAGATTGCAAACGGCCCGTGCGTCTTCAATTTCTAGCAGACACTCAACTCTGCGTCTAAAATCTAAGACGCAGAGTTAAGACTCAGAACGTGAGCGGCCTATATGTTTCTAATCTATAGCAGATACCTAACTCTGCGTCTCAAGTCTAAGACGCAGAGTTAAGGCCTAGAACGCCAATTTAGGTATTTGACTTGTTCAAACACAAGCTGAACGACCTCAAAACCATTTATCCCACTTTTTGAGGGATTTTCGCCCACTTAGGAGCGGATTTAGGGGTTGGTTACACCCCTTATCCCCCTATAAATAACTGCATTACTGAACTGAGTAAGGGGTTGGAATTTTTTGGCAGAGGGTTGGATTTTTTGAAGATTAAGGGCGAATTCTTGGGAGATTGGAGATTTCGGCCAGATTTTAAAAATCAAATCATCTACGAAATCAGCACAAGAGAGTTCGTGGCAGCCAGGAGATCAAATCCGTCAGCAACAAACAAATCCACTTGGCTCAACAACTCTTTTCAGAGTTTTCAACTCATTCTGAGTTCTTAAATTTGTTAAGAGTTCTCAATCAAACTTGCCATACAAGTTAATTGTTCCCATGAGACAAGACGTTCGGATCGTTAATGGAGAGCAAATTCGACGCAAACATTCGAAGGAGGCACTCCATCGCTACCGTGAAGAACCCAATATTAAACAAAGGGGGAAATCCAGATCATTCTCCTCTCTTTTATATTCGAAATCTAATTGTAATTGAGATCGAGAGAATCTAAATCAATTTTTTCTTTTATTTCTTTTACTGTAAATTTTCTACCAACAGCCACCTACCAGAGACTTGTAGCTAAGGTTTTCCAGCATCAGATCGGTCGCAATCTTGAAGCTTATGTAGATGATCTATTGGTGAAATCCAAACAAGCGTCTACCCATATTTCAGATTTGGACGAGACCTTTTTAACCCTAAGGTGATATCGAATAAAGCTCAATCTAGCTAAATGCGCCTTCAGAGTACAATCAGGAAAATTTCTTGGATTCATGATTACCCAAAGAGGTATTGAGATCAACCCTAAAAAGATTACTGTAATAGAGTGACTCCCTG